GACGCAGCTACTTTTCCTTAAATGACGTAAGTGAAGAAGAAGACTACTCTTTAATGATGTTTCTACATTAGACTATCTTAGTTTATTCTCGCTCAAAATACGTTATTTCCATCTTTTATGTTTGCCTGTCTTGAACTCTATCTGGAATCAATTAATCAAAAATCAAAATGTTCATAAAAGTTTCCAAGGAACCAAAAATTTTTCCCGTCAAACTTGTATGTTGGGTATAAAATTTTCAAGTACAATCTACATACACAGGATCTCTTAGCTTTTTATTTGATTCTTCTTATTTGAATCTTATTTGCGCTTTTATTTCAGTGGCAAGCAAAACAGGCAAAAACATTCCAACCCAAACCGCCGAGAGTGGGGAGAAGACATTGGAAATTGCTTGTGAGCCCTAGGCATACGTTTTATATGCGCTACATGTAGGAGCACTTGTCGGCTTTAACAGTTATATGCTGAAAAATTCGTTTAGCTAACGCGTGTGACTATGAGCGTGTGTGCGCGTATGTTTTTAGCTGTGTTAATGCGGTCGTATATGCCGTTACAGTTGGTTGGCTCGAAAGCGCTCAACGCGAATGGTTCGTTAGGCCGGCTTACTGCTGGCATGTATGAGACTGATTGACTTCGTGTCTAGGCGATTATGTGTTATGCGAGAGCGAACATTTGGCGGCTCTCACGAAAAGTTAGCTCAGCGAAAATATATTAATTTATAGTAACGGTATAGTATTTTTGACCGAAAGCATAAAGTAATGAAAGCACTTCTGGGTTAATTTTTTTTCTTCTAATTTTTATTGTGAACTTTGAGATAACATTAATTTTTTTTATCGTTTTTATTGTGAACTTCGAAATAACATAAGTCGAATTTGTCGTAAAGACGTTAAACTAACAAATTCTTGCCAATTTTCGCGCAAAGTGGCAGCGCTGTAACGTTGTTATGCCGTTATATTTCCAAACACACACACACACACCTAGTTCCGTTTGTTTACTTGAGAGTAAATTTTTGACAGTGCTTTGCTGCACTAGTTACTCTCGCTGCGCTCTCCATTATGCGTCTTGTCCTTCGAACAAGTGTAGCGTGAAACATTTCAGTGTGCTTGTGTGTGTATATGTGCTTTTGTCCTGCGGGACTGTAGGTTGCGTCGCTGAAAAAAGGTTCGCTCACCCGTTCGCTTATGCTTGGCCCATTGTGCGGCGTGGCTGCGTCCGTACGACATTGCGTTGCCTCGCTCATGTGACAAAACGTTTATTTTCCTTGCGGTGCGTGTGCTGAGCAGACGTTGGCAGTGTCAGTACACGGTTGTTTCGGCACGAATCGAAAATTTACTTCTGCTTTGCTGTTTTTAGTGCGTTGGCCGCGTTTGGTAGGCGTATTTTGTGTGCGTCGCTGGTTAAGTTTTCGAATTTCGAAAATTTGAACTTAGTAATAGTACTGCAACGAAACGGTTTCAGGCGAAATAACGGCTGTGCAGCAGCAAAAGTTTTTATCTCCAATTGTGTGAAATAAAGGTGTGTTAAGAGCTTTAATTTTTTTTCTAGTTTCTCAAAGTGCAAATAAATAAAATATAAATATTAAAATTAAACAAAAAAAAAAAAAAAAAAAAAAAAAAAAAAAAAAAAAAAAAAAAAAAAAAAAAAAAAAGGCGTATCACCGTCCCACCTGTTCGTGTTGTTTGTTGTTATTTCATAAATGCACTGGAATCCTCAACACATTCCGGCATTGCACGTGCCTTGCAGCATTGATTAAACAAAAAAATGTGGCACACGCGTTGCCTTGGTGCTTTCCAATGCAAAAATTTGCATATGAAACCGCTACACTATTGCATTCAAAATAGAACATAAATACTCGGTCTAATGAAGGTGCGTGCCGTTTTGAGCGAAAGTAAACAAAGTTTTCGAGGCAAATAAGCAAAACTTGTGGCGTAATTAGAAAGCAGGCATTAATTCAAAAACAAAAAAAAAAAAACATAAATAAAAAAAATTGGAATATTTTTCGAAGCACTAGTGTGGTCTAATTAATTAAAAAAAAATTAATTTTTTTCGTGGTAATTATGTGGTCTAATTCTGCGTTTAGGAAATACGTGACATTTCGAAAGCACTGTAGTGTTTAAATTAAGAGATGTATTATGCATGATTAAATTTGAAATAATACCAATATATCTCATAAAGTATTGTTAAAATGTTGAAAGGTGATATTTGGAAAAAGAATTTTAAAGATTTTGAGTAGAAAGTTCTCTACGTTGTCTATTAGACTGCCAGAGACTTTCTAAAGCGATTACACCAATATAAGGATTCGTTTCGTGAACTTGTTATTTCGGTACCAAGAGCTCACTTATATCGCGGTATACATTGTGATAAAAAAGTACTCAGAAATTTTTAATAAAAAGCAAAATATTTAATTCAATATTTATTTTTTTTGTCTTCAAAGTAATCTCCACCAGATATTAGATATTTATCTTAACGATTTTTTCCATAGTCCTTGAAATACTTTTGATAAGCGCTTTGTTGGATGGTCATAAGCTTCTTCAGCGAATTTTGTTTTATCTTTTCGATCGACTGAAAACATCGTTTCCGATGATTGTGGATTTGTTTGTATGTCAAGCTCATAAAACCATGTTTCACTGGCAGTTGTGATGCTCTCCATGAATGTGGAATCGGAATTTACACGAAGAAGTATGCCGAAAGAGGCCTCATTTAAGAAGCTTTAAAAGTATTTGAACGGATTTGCGAGAGATGTGGAGCTCTCTTGCTATCTCGCTGACGATTTTTAGACACCATATTCTTCCCTCTTTTAGTATTTTCATCAGTTGAAGAGGTCGAAGGTCGTCCAGAATGATGCATGTCTTCAACGATCTCTCTAATTAAAATTTCCGGGGTTTTTTTCCCACAAGGTGCAACTGAATTCGAAGGCAGTTTTTCGAAATAAAATTAAATGAAAACGATTACAAATGTATTGTTTAAAATTTAAAAATCAATTCCTTTTTGTAAAAATTTAATTTCTTAAAATACAAATTTATAAAAATTGTATTATGTGTTAATAAAATAATAGCTCCTAGTTGAGACTAATGGAATATGTGTATCTAGTTTGGACACTGTTTTGATTTCTTTGTATTAAAAACAAGAAAAATCAATTTCGTTAGCACCAAAGCTCTAATACCCATCAACATAATTCCCTTCAAGGTTGATACACTGATTATAGCGATCTCCCAACTTTTCGATAGCATTTTCGTAATACGTTATGTCGTTTGCTTCAATATAGAAGCAAAGACAGTTTCGGTGAACAACTCTTCATTCGACGAAGTGGAAAATTCTTCTATTTCACATTCAGCTTCACATTTAACGGAATTTTTTTTGGAATATTTTTTGCTTGGCGTCCTGTTGATGATGGAAGATCGAAAACAGAATTTTCATCGGGTCATGCTATACCTTTTTGGAAATCTCATTTCATGCGCTAACACGTGTTTGATTGATTGTCGTTTCTTTTAAGTCGTTTGTGAGTTATAGCGTCGCAAACATGGAGCAAAATAAAGAGAAAATACGGCATATTTTACAGTACATACTACTACGATAAAGGCAAAAATGCATCTCAAGCCGCCAATAAAATTTGTGCAGTTTATGGACCCGGTACAGTTTCCATTTCCACCGCACAACGATGGTTTCACGTTTTCGTTCTGGTGTAGAGGTGGTCGAAGATGCGCCACGCTCCGGAAAGCCTGTCGTCGAAAATTGCGATAAAATCGCTGAATTGGTCGAAAGAGACCGGCATAGTAGCAGCCGTAGCATCGGTCAAGAGCTGGGCATGAGTCATCAAAAAAATTTTATGAACAATTGGAAATGCAATAAAAATACCGCAAGACATTTTTGACAACCAAATATTAACTTCTTTATTAACAACAGTGTAACAATGCAGATGAAGCAAGCTAACGAAAACATTGGTTTGTGAAATTTAGTCTCACAATTTCGATTTTGTATCGAATTTGTGTAATGTCACATTAATAACTGTAATTTGCTTATAAAAAGTCAAGGAAGTGGTCCATTTTTGAAGCGCAAAGTTACTGAGGACGAAAAGTAGACCGGAAGTCACCAAAACAGATTCTGTTGTCTGTTTGCTGGGATTTCAAATCGTTTAGTTTGAGCTTTTGCTCAAGAATACCACGATTATTTCTCAAGTTCATTCGGATAAGCTGAATAAGCGGAATTAAAATAGTATAATGCGGGGTCTTATACAAGTTTTTTGTGTCGCATGAAGCAAATTGCCAAGAGTCATGCGTGTTCACCTGCAATTAATAAAAGAGTTTGAATGACACCCTCTATGTGCATATGTTTCTCTTAAGTAACTATTTTTAAAAACTGCAACTATTAAATATATGTTTTGTGTATGTATTAGGGTGGGTCAAAAATTGCGAATTTCTTTCGTTTCGTACTCAAAAAAATAGGTTCGTAGATACCTCTAAGAAAGTTTCATGGTTTTTGTATGAAATTAAATGCTCCACAAAATTGAAATTATAAATTTTTTAAGTACATATGTAGTTGTAAACGAGATTGGAAGTTTTCCACATGATGTTAAATAAAATATAGAACTGCAAGACAGAGGATGCTCCCAATTAATCGGTCATACTTGAAGAAGCTCACTAATGGGTGTAAAAAAAAATAATTTTTTTACCCACCCTAATAATATTACATAAGGATGTATAAATATATTTATATATTTTAATCCACTAAAATATTTACCGTTAAATATATAAAAATTTGTACATCTAATTATCGCTTAATGCATATAATCTATTTCTATGCGCACCTAACCTCAAAGTCGGGCTATTTTTCATAAAAACTCTGAAATATACCAAAAAAACTGAAAAACAAACTAAAATTGCTCCCACCTCTCTGCAAGTAAATTAATAAAGTTTGCCGCAAAAAAAGCGTAAAATAACAAAATAAAATTTTGATAATGCAAAAATATTGAAACTGTGACGGAAGTTTAAAATTAAAACCACAAACACACACATTCTCTGGGCGCAGCGCAGCTAAGCGCGCATCACCGCAGTTATAACCGCAGCATAGCGTAGTAGACAAAAATTCAAAACAAAAAACAACAACAAAAACAAAAACAAAAAAGCACAAACTTAAGTAAAAACAACAACCACTAAAATTACAACAACAAAGTCTAACACAACAACAATACAATTACTACATCGCTCCCACTAACGACCGCAACCAACACTTCCCGGCAGCCATACAACAACACTAGCAATAGAAAGCACAAAAAAAAAAAACGAGAAACATTAAGTGAAATCCCAAAAGGCGCACGCGAAATGGGCTGCAACACCAGTCAAGAGCTGAAAACAAAAGACGGCAACGCTGGCAGCGCTAATGGCGAGGGTGAGCTCGCTGTCGAGGCCACCAATGCCGCCAACACCGCAACCAGCAATGGCAATGTTGGCGGCGCTGTGAGTGTCGGCGAGCAGAATGGCAATTTGGCGGAGCAACAGAAGGCGGTTGGTGGTGGCAGCGCTGGCAGTCAAACCAGAAAGACAGCATCCGCAGCTTCTGCCGTGTCAGCCACGTCCGCAGCATCGGCAGGTTCGGCGGCTACGGCGACGTCAAACAATCTCACAAATCACTCGAAATCAAATTCAATTATAAGTAACGGTGATGCTAACAAGCGTAGCGCCTCACGTGACGAGGGTGACGGTGGCATACTCGAGAAGGCGTTGGCGGCTGTAAAACAGCAATGCGATAAAGCGGAAATAACCGAGTTCAACGATATGAGCGAATTGGGTGAATTGGGAGAATTGGGCGAAGATGAAGGTGAGTACGTGGCGCCCCATACATACATACAACAACTAAGTACTTGTACGTTATCCTTTTGATTGTTTCTTTCATTTTTCGTTTTGTTTTCGAAAACTTTTATTTATTTTTTTTTTCAAACTGCCTTATGTGCGCGTATTTCGTTTGCTCTGTGCTATCTTGTGTCTTATGTCGACGTGTTATGTACCTGTATATATTATATATCGACTTAGTATGTATGCGCTTTACTGGCATTGCCCGCCACGCTTAGTTCATAAGCTGCTGTCAGCGGCGTGCCCTTGATTCCCTGCTTTTACTGCACGCCGTCAACCAAGGTGTCCTTTGCTTCCCTCCCAAACCACACCAACCAGCACCGCAAATGCTTACGCACCAGTATTCGAGTAAGTTATTGCCGCTCTTGTGTTACGCATTTTAAATAATCTTTGCCAGATTCCTTTGCTTCGCGAGTTCGGTGAATTTGTTGTATCAATTTGTGTCTCAACAACTATGACTGCGCCACTCACCCGACACCTGTACGAAGATTACCTATCTTTGCTTTTTTTCCCTCTCATTTCCACATTTCCCTGCAGCTAAAGTTTGTTCCTTACCTATTTCTATTTTACAGTTAAACGGTTGTTGCGAATTATTTGACAGCTGTCAGCTTTCTGATTGTCATTTCGTTGCTCTCTTAAGCCGAGTTTTAAATGTGTTGTACCCAATTCGCTATTCTAACGGGGTTTTTGACACTAATGCGTAATTGAATTTGTGGTTCATGGTTCACAAAGAGTTTATCGAATTACAGCGCAGTTATTTCGTGGTGTCTTATAGAATTTGAAAAGGTGGTTTCGTGCGTTCGAAGTTCAGACACTATTTGGTACGCTAAAAAAGTACTGAAAAGAGTATCGCGGGTTATCAATTAGTGTTGCGAGAAGTCAGTGAGCATTTACTACTTTAAAATTTTATTAAAAACATTTCTTAGACATAAGGCAGATCTGAGCAAAGGTAACATCAAAATTAAGGTTAAGAAATACTTATAAAAATTATTATTACTACCAGACAGCTGACATATTTGTTTGTATGACATCTCTTGGGAGTATTTTTGGACAAGGAGGAAGAAGAAGTTTTTTTCTTTCTTATTTCTAAACTACGGGGTCTCTTCATGATAACCGTACCTATTTAGGTTCACTATCTGTTCGTAGTTTTATCTTAAGCGTATCATATTTTAATGAAAAAAATGTATATGAAGATGTATATGAATTGAAAATTAAATTAAATTAAATTGAATGAAGGTTTCGAAAAAGTTTTTATAAACTTAAAGAAAGGTATAATTTTCTTTCAAACAAGAAACACTTTGACTTTGATTTCACTGATTTGCTCTCAGACTCTGAGTTTCTGTAAGAACTTACGTCTGAATATTCGAAAAGCCTCGCACGCTTTGACCTCTTGCTGGATCTTTTGGATAATGGAGTCGCCAAACCAAATTCTTGCGGCTTTTTATGTGCCAACATATCTGCGAGAGAATTGTATGTAGATAAAAGCCACTGGTGGATAGGCGCTATAGTTTCTTTACGGTTGGGTCAAAGTTTACCTTACCTGGGGTATATTGTCGAGAACTCTCTATACCAACTTCAGGGCTGGTTAAGGAATGTCTACTCTCGTCATCAATGGCATCGAGTTCCTTCCTCTTTAATAATAGTAAGGGTGCCAGACCAAAGAAGAATGACAGATAACTGTATAGCTGATGAGCTGGTAAGGAAGAGTATCCTAGCCAGCTATCAGTAGAAAGAAACCCGTCGGTGCTCTCCTGTCCTCGTGTGTTCTATTACTGGATAGCAGGACTTCGGAGGAGCTGGGTTGGCGCTTTCCCAATATTTTGCCGCAAGATTCTTTTGGCCCAAGATCGATTGTAAAAGATTCAGTTAGCTTTTTGCTTTAAGGCTGCTCTTTACCTGTAAACTTCGTCCTTTATTGTTCCGCGTTTGCTAAATCAAGACTTAAACACTTGAGATTTCACACCTTCAGATATCTTACCGAAGAATAGAAATTAAACACCTGATTTAGAACCGTCATTTTTGTATGACGAAATCTTGATAAATTTATAGGATTTGTTGGATATACCACTCAACAGCCGAAATCGTGTGATTAAGTGTCGGTATGAACATGATATAAGGTTGAGAATTATACCGAACGGCAGCTCTTTGATTGTCTCGCGTTTGCGAGATCAAGCTTAAACACGTGGGGAGTTTAGACCTTTAGATAGCTCACCAAAGAATAGAAATTCAACGTCTAAAAAAGAAATTGTATTGACCACAAAACGCTTTGCTGACTAGTAAGATCGCATGCAGGAGTTATGCATTTATGGATTTACGAAGCACTGAACATAGTAGTCGTAGTGCTATATCTGGCTCAGCCAACGAATCTAATCTAAACTAACTAACCAATATGTTATAGTCGTTCCGACAAATGAGCAACTGTTAGGTAAAAAAGGCATTTTCTGATACTTAGCTCAAGAGCTCAAGGACTATTTTGCTTATATACAGACAGACAGGCATACGGACATAAATATATCGATTCCGCTTTGATTTCTTACATATTCTATCTGGGATCTAGAATACCCTGATCTGGGTCAAAAAAAAAAAAAAAAAAAAAAAAAAAAAAAAAAAAAAAAAAAAAAAAAAAAAAAAAAAAAAAAAAAAAAAAAATTCTGTGATATTATAGAGTTCTAATATGTAGATCTCCTTTAGAATTACTTAGAAGGTAAATTGTTTGAAAAATATGAATGAATAATTCTGGTTCATATGGTAATATAAATCATCAGTCATTCCCGACTGATTTGAGCGCGATTTACACTCTTTTATTTAACAATTGGCTTCCTAAAGGTCTTAGTGTGTCGTCAGATATCCACTCTTCTTACTTACTCAACTTATTTTTATTTCTCACATACTTACTGATTCAAACAGTGTTCGATCTCCGAACAACTGGCTGTTGTAGGAATTGTGGCGTGTAGTCCGCTTATAGTCATAAGAATTCCAATTTAAACTGTGGCCAACAAATGTAAGTGTTGGGTGTTCGATCCAATGTACTATATATAAAAAAAGTTTAATTTCCTTTTATTTGTGCGTTTTTATTTCAATTAGATTTGCTGTCTCTTTTGCCATGACTTCCTTCCATGCCTACTGTCAACTGTTACCTAAAAAATATAAATAAAACAAAATTGAATTGTAAATTCATGCGAGCTTTGACATTGGCTTTCCTTTACAACACCGTCGTCATTTCTACTTGATTGCGCTTCTTTTTCATCGCCCTTCGTCGCCCACCACAAAGCCATGGTAATTACGCCACAAATGATTACTTTGCATATTTTTTCCGCTGACTCAGAAATCACAAAATTTTTTAACAACTCAATGGGCCCTAAATTGTTGCGGTGAGTGTAATGAAACGCGTTCCTTGCTCACTTCGACAAGTTGTGATGGCTTTGGTTCGAGGTGTTGAGAGAGTGGGTGCGCAGTGACGGCCGGTGAACGCTTGATACTTTGAGTCATTTCTACAAGCTAATTTAATTTTATATGTTTGTTGTTATTGCTTTGTTTTGGCACCCACGGGAGTAACACGAATTAGCAAACATAATTCATTTGTGGATTGACCGTTTGGCTCATTGCCTGTCGGCTGGCTTCATTCGTCGACTTCCATGTTGCGAGGCTTTGCAGTGACACCGGCGCATTAAGCTCGCACAAATCATATTGTTCGTTAGCTGATTCCGAGAATTTTCGTACGCTGCAACGTTAATTATTTTGATAGTGTATTGTTATAATGGCTAAATAAGGTTAGAATTTTCCAGTGAATTCCGTATTTGCCTTTGGGAGGCCAAACAACTATGATTACTGGCTTCTGTTGAAATTTGGAAATGGTGGAAAGTAATTTGTTTACAGTTACATACTACGAAAGTGCTAAATTTTTTTCAGAGAATATAATTTGATGTTTAAGAAGAAGCAGATTTCTGCTAAAATATGTAGATAAGGTCTAATAAAATGAAATCCATTATTTTGGCATTAAATTGAAGGTATAATTTGGCATAGTTAGAGTAATTTGATTTAAGTTAAATACATATTGTAAAACACTCTCGTAAAAGCGCGCATCTTTAGAGACAAAAAAACTGAGACCGCCAAACTCCATGACCTTCTCCTGGGTCGAATTTTCACCAACAAAATCATTCGTTATAAACAGGAACGGGTAGTAATCATTTTTTTTTACCAGAACCGCACTAATAAGTGATGGCATTCGAACCTCCAACCCAAGCTCTCATAGCTTTTGGCGAGTCCTCATCGGTGGGTATGATCTGGCGTTGTCCTGATGAAACACAAATTCTCTTATTTTGAACAAAGTTGGTAGCTTTTGTGCGATAGCTTTCGTCAAGAGTTCCAATTATCGACAGTGCAGTTCTGAACTAAAAGTTTTGCCGTAGAGAAGAAACTCATAAAAACTGATTCGCTGCCAATCTTACCAAACACATAGCGAACCTCTCTGGCCGTCAATCCCTGCTAGGCAGGGACTTAATATGCATTATCTTTGTCGAAGGAGCTTTCGTATAACTATATGATCTACTGTCGTTAGGATTCGACCTTACATTACACCCAGAGACGGCCCAGCATTTAAATTAGAATCAAAATCGACTGTAAGGAGTTTAAAGTATCCTTAAATATCATCGAAGTTGTGGTACATTTTTAGCTAGATGAATTTTTGTATGATTGCTGGGTTGTAAGTATCAGAGGCACTTTAGAATCTTCTTTTTAGAGCATGGTCGAAAGCATTCCCGACGATTAGAATTTAAGAGTAGTCAGCCCAATCCACACAAAGGGGAGACCCCACAATCAGCGCCAACTACTGTGGAAACAGCATTATCAACATCGCATAAAAGTTTATATCAGGCATCCCGCAAAACTCAAATGGCTGTGTTAACTAATGTTGAGCAATACCAAAAGCTCCTTCGTGATCCGGGAGAACTTCTCCGATCTCTTTGAAGT